AATATTTGGATGTTTATATATAAGTGTGTGATGATTGCTGTATAAATAAAGAATGCAGATTTTTAAGTTGTCCATTATGATTATCAAGTAATGGTCCATGTCTTCATTATATCTGATTCCATACACCTTGTGCAAACTCTGAAGTCAGCTGGAGCTGGTCTTCAGCAGCAGGATATAGAAAAAGCTCAAGAAAATTAGCAAATACAATACAGTACAATATTATGGAACCAGTGAAGGGCATCAACAAGCCATTTTCATAGAATAAAATACAAATGGATAACAGGCACATGGAACACTGTTCAAGTTAGTTAGACACAAGGTAAATGCGCCCAGGTAGACTGCCTATCACCTAAGAAACTATAAAAATCCTGAACATTGTTGAGGATGTAAGGGGAAAGACCACTGCTGGTGCCGGACATAAGCCAGTACAACTATCAGGGAAGACACAATGAAGTTTGGTTATTTTTAAAACCATGTGAGACTGAGGTTAACTATTAGTTTATTTTTGTTATATATATGTAAACTGCCTCTTAAATCATGACATTTGTCACTTGTTTTCTTTATGACACATAATTTAGAACACAGACCAAAAAAAAGTGTAAAAATGAAATTGTTATTTTGGGAAAGGATTGTGGTTTTTAACCCATATTTGTACTCCAGTGGAAATTTGATCCTGAGGTCTTTTTGCCTATTGCTTGCTGAATATTATAATTTTTGGTTAATGAAGCCTGAGACTAAAGAGTGGGGTTTCAACAAAAGCTTCAAGAACTGTGGAGAGGAAAAGGAGAGAAGGCAGGGAAGAGACTGGGGTGTTAGCAGCAGTGTTTTCTTGGAACCATCTCTATTAAATGCCTTGGATCTGCAATCCTTACATTAACAAAAGTGCAAATTTAAAAATAAATGTTCTGCAAAGGCCACTTAGGACAGAAGTTCAAACTCTGATGAGAGAGGTACAAACTAAAACTCTGCTTTAAATGCCCATTAACATCTGAAAACACAGAAAGCCTAATAATAACAAGGATATTTGGAAATGAAAAAACATGATCAGTAATGCTGTAGAAAGACAGATTCAGCCACGATCATTATCAATACATGGATAGTACTCTGAAACTAAATACATTTGAGACTAGGAGGGCATCTGGGTGGGTGTGATGGATGAAAGGACACCTGCATGACTGGATTCACAGAAGTTGTGCATCAGGAGCATGCTGCCAGTCAAAAAGGAGAACAAAGATAATTAGAAATCATGAGCATCTTTACATTTGCAAACGACTTGACTTATTTCTGGTCATGAGTAAGGATTCAAATATAGTCATTCGGGAGCTAGAGTTTGGCACATCATTTTCCTAAGTTTCAGATGGTTTGGCAACACAAAGTTTATTTGCTGTTTTCACGGATTTTCTCAGAGAACCACATGCTTCATTGGCTATCTCTCAAATAGCTAAACCATGGGACAGTCTCTCAAGTCTGTGATCTAAAGAAAAAGTAGATGAGCATTAGCTGCAGCTCTGGGGAATTTGCAGTATTAATATGGCTGTTTCACAGGGACATTGCTCCTGCAATTTATCTAGTCCCCACCCAGTTATCTTTTGCCTGTGTCTCCTAAGAGACCCATGTACCTTCCAAGCCTGAGACTTTTGCACCAGAACTGCCCATTATAAAGTAACCATAAAGGTCAACTTGAACAGAGATCCATGGCTCCAGTGGCAAACCCTGTCATTAGCATAAGTCATTTTCATAGCTATAGACTGGCAGAGATAATGCAGTGATAGATGAATATTTGAAGATCTGTGGAGGACAACTTTTAAGACTTACCATTCTCAGTGCATCATGGATTGTAGCATAGTGTTTAAGACAAAGCAGGTGGAAGTAAACTGTAAGTGAAACTTATAAATACATAAATGATATTACACATTTATAAGAGACACAGTCATTTGAATAATATGACTTGGTAGAGAAGAGGACCCTTTTAGCCTAGAGGATATACATTTACACACACACACACACACACACACGCACACACACACATACAGTTTCTTATGCTTCATGCACTAATCTGGTTAGGTTCAGCTACAGAATGGTTTCTATTTTTGTTACACTGGAAACACAGCATATTGCACCAAAGCAGTTGAAATGAGTAAAGGGTGAGCTGACTGACAACCCCAGGAGGATCAGTGGTTGTGGTAACAAGATCAAGCATTTGTGGCAATCATAAGGGAATTGTAGAAGATGTGTAAAATCATTGAATCCTCTCTAAGAACGCCATGGAAGACCCAGCACCCTCCTTGTAGTGCTCACAGTCAGATGGACGCTACCCGAGTAGGAACAGCGCACAAGGTAAGGACTTGAATAGAACTGGCCAATCACAGATCACTTCGAAAAACAATAAATAAATACAAAGTAGTGGAATTACATAAACAGTGATAATCTGAGATTTACTGCTTTTATGTCTGAATAACTGTTATTAATACCAACAAAATAAGAGCAGATGAACGAGAATGGAAGTGCTGTTTGATTCTAATTCAGGGAACAATGAAGTACTGCTGTTGCAGCTCACATTGTGAAAGTGTTGCTCACTAAAAAAATGGCTGCACAGAAAATTCTATGGCACTCTAATTGAGTCAATTACTCAGAAATGATAGATTCCAGGCAAGGAGTTTTCCTGACTGATTCAGAAATGAGCAGAATGTCAGTGTCAGCACATGCAAAAGATTAAGGTATTTATATAGTTCAGGAATCAGTGAGATAATTGTGTCAAGAGTAAGCTACAGAATTATGAAAATGAGTCCCTCATAAAAGGGCATATAGTCTGGTTACAAAATTCAGTCGTCTTACAGATACAAATGGATATCCTTAGAGTTTCATTCAAGATGAGCTTAGCACATGTCAGACAGAAGATTTTCTGAGAAATGGTTAAAATATAACTGCAGATCAAAATCTGGGGACATTCTAAGCAAATTCCTTTGCATCTCACACCTGGATGCTGATTCTTACTAGAGTGAAAGTTTCCTCCTTAATTAGATTAGACAAGTTGTAATCTTACAGAAAATTTTATTGGAAAAAAGATATTTTAAATACTTGAAATTAACAAAGGAGTAATTGATGTTAAGCATATCTTCCTTTTTGAAATCCAAGTGTCTCCAAGTGCATTAATTCTCTTCTTGCAGCAACAATTCCCCATTTAGTACAGTACTCAATCTACATTAGTCTCTCACGGATTTGTTTTTGTTAGAAGCGGAATAAACACTGGAACTTGGCCAACCACATCTTCAAACGGAAAATGATTAAAGGTTTGCAAAGAGAAGTTTGTAATTTAATTGTTTCTGTGTTTTGATGTTCAATATTTGTAGCTTTGGGAACAAGTTTTTATTTCTCTTTGGGGGGTCACAGGATTCATGTACTATGTGGTAATGTTTACAATTTTAAATTTCTGAGAAAACTGGAAACTTATTCTCTTAATTTTTAAAAGTGTTTTATTACCTATTAGCACTTTGTCATTTCCTACCAGAAAACACAGTGGATACTCCCAGCACAACGTGTATTTAATAATAGAATGCGGGTACCAAAGTTATTTTTCAAAAGAAACAACATTTTTGCTCCCATATCAGTCAGATTTAAGATGTTAAATTAAAATGCTGACAAAAGCTATGAATAAAAATCATCATCAACAGGGGACCATATGTTCAAAATGTTAATTCTAGGTTGAGACTGAATAGCTTTTTTTTTTTAACCTCTTGTTAAAATTCAGCAACCAAAACTAAACGGTTGTTTGAAATTAAGGATGATGGCAGCCAAACTTCCCAAATAGGCCACTTTTCAATTATCATAAAACACCTAAGTCTTTACACACACACAAAAAAGGTAACCTGAGATAACCTAGGGTTGATGAATTAGTTACCTTGATATTTCTGTCTGCTCATCTTTACTTTACAAGGGAATGACTGCCTCCTTTATTTCTGCTTTTATAGACATTTATTTTATTTATTTGTTATAATTTCTGTCTGTAAAACTGATCCTCTCTGCTCATTTACTAGAAAATTTTCTACTGTATTTTGTGGAATGGAGTGTTGTCCGTTTCTAGGTTTTTAAAACACCTTTTAAGGGCCTGGCAGCGTGGCCTAGTGGCTAAAGTCCTCACCTTGGACACACCGGGATTCCATATGGGTGCCGGTTCTAATCCCAGCAGCTCCACTTCCCATACAGCTCCCTGTTTGTGGCCTGGAAAAGCAGTCGAGGATAGCCCAAAGCTTTGGCCCTCTGCACCTGTGTGGGAGATCCGGAAGAAGTTCCTATCTCTTGGCATAGCATCGGCCGTTGCGCTCACTTGGGGAGTGAATCATCGGACGGAAGATCTTCCTCTCTATCTCTCCTCCTCTCTGTATATCTGACTTTTGAATAAATAAATAAATCTTTAAAATAAAAAGGCACCATTTAAGAACTTTACATGTTGTAATTTCAGCTTTGACAATTGTGGAAAAGTACATCTTTGATTGATAGTTAAGTATTCGCCACGTTTGTTTTTAATAAGCCTTGTTTAAAGGTTTTAACATCAGATATTATTCTGTATTTTTTAGTTATGATTTCTAATGATGGAAGTATTGCTGAAAATATTGTACATTGGGACACATGTTAACAAATGTATGTGTTTACATTTTGTTTTCATATTCTATCTTTGTTTCCTGAAGATGAACCAGAATCCCAACACATAGAGAAGGTGATCCTATCACTAACCACTGTCGTAAGAGGAACAAGTTGAACCACATTTCAAAATCCAGGAAAAAATCTGGACTCAAGAAATTTAACCTTCTTGCCAGGTGGTGAAAAGGCTTACCTGAGGATTTTCTGAGAATTAAGGGATGAGTCAGCACTTCAGTTCACATAATGAGTATGTCTGTGTTCCTTCCACACAGGGCTATGGAAGAATCACATTACCATTCTCCAGTTTATAGGACATTTCCTTGGCTACTTTGCACTAACCTTACAACTTCTCCAGTTTTGACATGGCAAGCAATACCACATACTATCATGTTTCATCTTTCTTCCTCGTTGGTATTCCTGGTTTGCAAGATATTCATGCTTGGATTGGTATTCCTGTCTGCCTTCTATTTATCTTGACTCTTTTGGGGAACTGTGTAATCATTGTTACTGTGAAGATAGAGCCAAGCCTCCACCAACCCATGTATTTCTTCTTGTGCATGCTGGCAGTGAATGATATGGCCCTTGCTTCTTCCACAGCCCCCAAGATGCTTGGCATCTTCTGGTTTGATGCTCATAGCACTGACTTTAACATCTGCCTAGCACAACTGTATTTTATCCACACATTTTGCATTATGGAGTCAGCTCTGTTAGTCACCATGGCCTTCGATCGCTATATAGCTATTTGCATCCCTTTGCGATACACAACCATCCTCACAACATCAATGGTCGTTAAAATGTGTCTAGCTGGTGTGATTCGAGCTACACTCATGGTTTTGCCCTGTCCTCTCCTCATCAACAGGTTGCCTTATTTCACCAAGTATGTCATCAATCATGCCTACTGTGAACACATGGCTGTGGTGAAGTTGGCCAGTGCCAACACCCTTGTCAATAGAGCATACGGAATCTCTGTGGCCTTATCAGTGATGATATTGGACTTGGGGCTCATAGCGGCATCTTACATCAAAATCCTACAGGAAGTCTTCCGGCTGTCTTCCCAGAATGCTCGCTCTAAAGCCCTGGGTACCTGTGCTGCTCACATCTGCACTATTCTTGTTACCTATACACCAGCACTGTTTAGTTTTCTAACTCACCGCATTGGTAAGAAAGTACCTCCAAGTGTGCATATTATTTTTGCAAGTGTATACCTTATAGTTCCCCCCACTGTCAATCCTCTAGTGTATGGTGTCAAGACCAAGCAGATTCGTGACCGAGTGGTGAGTCTTTTCTTCCCAAACAAGAAAATACCTAAAAATTAAAGCTTTGTTTTTTAAACATAAATTCATTTTGGCAGAATCTGTCTCAAGTAGTTCGGAAGCCAATTATCTTAATCTTATGCCCGTAATCTTATTTCTTGTTTCAGTGTAAATTATATTGGAGGATACTTGAAATTATATCTTTTTGTTCTATAGTTTTGTTTTATTCCTGTTTTCTACCTTTTGAAATAACAGCAATTCTTTTCCATGGAAAATTTTTAATAAATATTAATGATATTCATTTTGGTATGCTATTTACATTCTTTATAATTAAATTTTGTTACATCTACAAATCTAAGATGAGTACATCAATTGTTTAGCAACCTAATTTTTAAATACATTGGATTCTGAAATCATTTTCTTTTTCCAATTTAAACTCTGTGCATCCTTTTGAAAAGTCTCCATAAAGAAAGCTGAGTGGAATGTAGCATATACACTTATATCGGATGGATAGATTCTAGTGATCAATGCCAGTACAAAGTAACAAAATATGACCAAAACTTGATAAATATTTTATGATGAAATAAGAGATATTTGCTGAAGGTGCACAGCACAAAGAAATGATGAATACTTAAGGAAAGATTAATGTTTATTATCCTGATTTCATAATTGCAAGAAGAACTGCAATTGCACTTTTGTTGAAGGAATTATGACACTATTCGATTAGAGAAAAGAAACTATTGAAAGAAATGAAAATGAAAGCAAAAACTTCAAAAGACATGGTATGCACAAAAGCACTATGGAAAGGGTTATTGATCTTAAAATTTTCATGATGGCTGCCTTATATCAGAGAACATATGATATTTGTCCTTTTGGGATTGACTTATTTCACTGAGCATGATGGTCTCTAGTTGGGACCATCTAGTTGCAAATGGTATAATTTTATTCTTTTCAATGGCTGAGTAATATTCCATGGATGAGCTGCACCAGTTTCTTTAACCACTCCTCTTTGGATGGACATCTGGGTTGTTTCCATGTCTTTGTTGTTGTAGGTTGTGCTGCTGTAAATATAGAATTATAGATCCCCTTCTTTATGCAGTTTTCTTTTCCTTTGGATATATCCCAATGTGCAGGATAGCTGGGTCACACGGCAGGCTTATTTGCAATTTTCTAAGCACTCTCCATGCTGATTTCCATAATGGTTGTAACCTACACTCTACCAACATTGAAGGAGGATAGCTTTCTCCCCACATCCATGCCAACAGGTGTTGTTAGTAGAGTTGTTAATGTAGACCAGTCTCACTGGAGTTAAGTGGACTCTAAAATGTGGTTATCATTTGTATGTCCCTGATAGCTGGGGAGCCTGAAGAGTGATCTGTGTACATGTCATGTGTTGAACTCTATTTAGTGAAGCATTAAGCCTGTGACTATGAAGTCAATTCAAAGTATTCTTAAAAATTTAATTTACAACAGATGAAAGAAAACAGTTTCGGGGGAGAGTACCATTATTCTTAGAATTGTATCTTTCAACTATAGGAAATTTACTCTTGTTATATTTAGAAAAATATAGCAGAAAGAACTTATTTTAAAAGATTTGTTGATCTTTATGTCTCTTCACATTCTTTCATTTTTTCCCTTCAAATAAATAAAATCATTGCTAAAAAATATATAAAACAAGACTGGGCAAAGTTGCAATCCAACAGGTTAAGCCATTGCTGCCTATGCCAACTTCTCATATCACAGACCCAATTTTATTCTTGGCTTCTCTGTTTCAAATCCAGCTTCCTACTAATGTACTTGGGAAGGCAATGTAAGATGGCCCAAGGACCTGGATGCTTGGCACATGTTTGGGAGGTGCTTTTGGTTTCTGGCTTTGACCTGTCAGAGCCATTTTTACAATAATTCAGCAGAAAGCTTCTCTCTCTCCCTCATTCCCATTCCTTCCAAATAAGAAACTTAAAAAAAAAAGTCTTGTTTAGATGTGTAGAAGTCATGAAAGTCAATAATAAAGTTAGACCCAGAGCAGTGGTCCAGAAGCTAAATCCCTGCCTTGCATGGTTTGGGATCCCATATGGGCACTGGTTTCTGTTCCTGCTGCTCTATTTCCTTTCCAGCTTCTTGCTTGTGACCTGCAAATCAGTAGAGGATGGCCCAAAGCCTTGGGACCCTCAACATTATTGATGCCAAATATATGAAATAAGGTGACATTTTTGCAAAGATAATGCAGAGCCTTTTACTATTCAAATGCCAATCAATGTAAATCTCAAATTTTGGAAATCAAAGAAGAGAAATACAAGTGTGGTCATATAGTTGTAAAAAAAAAAAACAAAACAAAACAAAAAAAAACCTGATTTTATTTATCAGCCTAGGACAAGTTCACAAATCTGAGAAAACTTCAAGACATTCATGGAAATTAAATGTTATAAACAGCAATAGCTATTCATGTACTCCAAAAGTTTTTTTTTCACCAATATAACCATATTCTTTATTTTGATTTTTCATTATTTTTATTCCTCCATTTTTCACTATAATTTCTACATTGATGATTTTTATATAGGTCTATTATCCATTTTGGAAGTAGTGTATAATCCATGTCTAGATTCATACTTTTTCATAAATATATATAATTGTTCCGACAAGATTTCCTAACCTTATTGAGGTGTAATCAACAAATGAAACCATCATGTATATTGAAGGTATGCAACCTGATGTTTTTGTTTGTTTGCTTGTTTTTAAAGATTTATTGTATTTTTATTTGAAAGTCAGATATACAGAGAGGAATATCTTCCATCTGTTGATTCATTCATTCAAGCAGCCTCAATAGCCAGAGCTGTGCCAATCTGAATCCAGGAGCCAGGAGTCTCTTTTGAGTCTCCCTCATGGGTACAGGGTACCAAGACTCTGGGCTATTCTTGACTGCTTTTCCAAACTACAAGCAGGGGGCTGTATAGGAAGCAGGGCTTCCAGGTTTTGAACCAGCTCCCAGCCCATATGGGATCCCAGCTTGTGCAGAAGAAAGACTTTAGCAGCTAGGCTACCATGCTGGCCCTGCAAACTGATATTTTAGTAACATTTTACTTTCGCAATGATTTATAAATTCAGTCCAACTGACACACTCATCACTTCTTAAAATTGACATGTGTATTTGTGTTCAAAACATACTGGTGTCCTTGTACATAGCACACTATTATTATTACATGTGGCTGCTATGTTGGACCTTAGATAGCTGAACACGCTCAAAATTGGATGCTTTACTCATGACCAATCTCTCAGTCCTCAGCCTATAGCAATTACCATACATTTCCTGTTTCTGTAAACTTCCACATACAACTAATGTCCATCATTTCTCTTTCTTTGTCTTAATTTACTGAGCATAATTTCCTTCAATTCATCATGGTATTGAGAATAATATGAGTTTTTTCCTTTATAAAACTGAATAATATCTCATGTCCATGGTAGACAGAAAAAATTCTTTGTCTACTCTTCTATCTATAGACTTTTAGGTATTTTCCATATCTTAGCTATTATGAATCATACTATACATTATTCAGTTAACATTGGACTGAGCATTACTCTAAGGGAAGCCATGCAGTTGGGACAAATGGTTCAAGCAGGGGGCAAAAGGGGCAGAGTGTGATTAGGATGGCTCTCCTGTTGACAAGGCTATGAGGAGTTTCCTGCTGTGTGACAAGGCCCGGTGGAATGTCTCTCTAATCACCTCATTGCACCTATCAGGAACATAACAAGTAATTCATAGGCAATAGACTCGAATCAGTATTAGACAATAGTAAAACTACAAAGTCATATGGGGGAATCAAGAGTGATCCTGACAACCTCTTAACAGGAGGTCAGAAGCACAGAGCAGGGGAGACCCAGAGTAGAGCAGGTGGACAGGAGGAGGCTTATATCCAATCCTGAGGACTCTCAGATCCTCACCAAAATTCCTTAGGAACTAGGGAGAGGAGCCTTTTCTGGTCCTTACTTAGTTCCAGCTTTGGATCCCCACCCTCTCTTGCAATGACCATCAGCATCGCTCTGAAGGCCCCCCCTTTAAAAAATTAGAATAGATAGAGAAATACCAGGAAAGCTTAAAACCAGACAGGAAATGGTTAGTGTGGATCCACATATACCTTACTAGGTAGGACACAAAGATTAGTTACTCCTCACTAGGGTATTGAAAATTTCTCTGCACACCCCTCCTAAAACTTTACTGCACCTCAATTGTTGACAAATGCATTATTAGAGTTATAATCAGTTTAGACTATCCTAAAATCTGCCAAGTTCAGCAAAATTACGCTTCAACACTATAAACCACTAAATACTAAAATGAAAATAAACTTGAGATAGCTGAATAGTACTCTATAGTCTCTTTAAGGTGTATAGCAGCCAGTTCTGTGTATAAAAAAAAAAATGAAATGTCAATGAAGTAGTAACAGGATGTGGTTAAGAACTTGCATGGTTCTAACATATTGATTACTCAATACCATGTCAATTAATTCCATAATGTTGTACATTGTTGTTGTGTTGTGTTTTTACTAAAAGCAATTGTTAAAAAGTTACATAGATGTGTAATGAAGAATCACTTACATCTTTGACTTTATTTACAACATGAGCATGTATATAATCTCTCAGCCACAGGGTGCTCACAATACAATGAAGAAGTAGCAGCATCGCTATGCTGCTGATTATATGTAAGGAGCATTTGGGGGGAAGGAACCACTCAGTCTATAGACAGAAAAGATGCCATTGGTTTTACCTTGTACCATAAGTTACTGAACCCTTTGATCCTGTTTACTCAATGCTTTCTCTTAGAAAAATTATTGCTAAGCTGTTTGCAGTATTCACTCAAACTTACTTTGGTTCCTTGTTCCAAAAAAAAGCGCAGCTTTACAATATTCATCTACTTCAGTATGATTATTGTTTATATAACTGGAAAATGTTCCATGTATAGGCAAACACTACATTATTGTTACAACATCAAATTATCATTCCCTTTGAAATAACATGTTTGTTTTGCTTGTATGCTTTTTAAAGCTTATTTCATTTTTGATGTTGTTTTCATA